AAGGTATGCTTTGGCCTTGAGACACCGGGCTTAGGTTTAGTTTCACCACTCGTTTCATTGCTTGTTGATGTTTTATCTAGCAAAGCGCCTTTAGAGACTCTTTTGTACACACCACGTCTGTGAATATTCAATGGTTCGATCTGAGCGAGAGCACAGGAAATGCTAGGAAGAGCATTGTGGGATTCCACGAGTGCTGACATCATGTTTCTCAGCTGCTCTGAGCTCTTTACACCACTCTTCAAACCACTCCAAAAACTGTTGTAACCCTCTGTGTCGTACTAGTAGTAAATTAGAGCTTTTTTTGTTTTAAGTCTTTGAGAAAAGACAGTCGGTTGTGATGTACTTTCTACTACCTCGGAGCTCAAAGCGGCTTTCTTTGTCTTTTGAATCCCTCAACAACAACAGGATCATCATGGTTATAGAGGCGAGGCCAAATTTACTGTTTGGGTTTTGGGTGTTTGCACACTGCCAGCTCTATCTCTCTGTCACCGTGGACATAAATATGCAAACAAATATGAATGAGACTGTCTGTTCAGATAAAGGTAGACAGGATGAGGCAGGATGGTTTGGACTCATGCATCACGGTTGGAAAATGTATTTGGTTATAGTCTAAATAGGATTTAGGAGTGCCATCTGTGTGGGTGTACTGCACTGTTATTGTATCTGCACTGAACACCCCAGTGTTTCACACTTTGAAAGAACCGCAGGATTACTTTGTTCACAGAGAATGTGGGTGTCAAAGAATATAAAGAATTCACATTGACAAACTTTTGCCTCTCTAATCTCGCTGCAAAGAGTTGGAAACTTTTGGGGTCCGATACATTTCATCCCCCATGGCCTTCATTAGAATTAGGCGCGTGGGTGTAAGGATGCTGAGCCATGGTGTGTGATTGATGGCAATTAGAGTAGTGGTACTTTGCTTACACCGGGCCTGTGCTACACCTAAAAGTAACTGGACTTGGTTTTAGTTTGAGGCAAACAAAACTCATGAAATAAATCTCCTACCTATCTTCCCCCAGCATAAAAATTACTAAGACAGGCCATAGCAAATGTTGTATAGGGTTGTTTAAGGTTTTAAGGAGCTCTTTTATGCAAACTTGGCCATTACAACATTGCTGTGTTCTTCACTGCCCAATAAAAGCTAAGGCTGCAGGAGAAGGCCTCCTTAAATCACTCTGATTTACCTAGGCTCCTGTGTGTGTGTGCGTGTGCATGTGTGTGTGTGTTTGTGTGTATTTATAGGACGGTGTGTGAAAGCGAGACTCTCCAGAGTGTTTGCACACACACACACTCAGGTCGTTCTGTCACTGGCAAAGAGGCAGCCTGCTTGCCGCAGAGCGTGTACTTGAGAAAGGACACCTGAGTTTGTAAATCAGTCCTGCTCTCTTTCCCTCTGGACAGCGTTGTCTGTTCTACGCTTGGTCTCGTTTTTCTTTATCTCTGGTTTTAATCACCTCCTCACTAGTCTCTCATTCTTTTCCTCCTGTCTTCCCTCCACTTTTCCTCTATTTGTTTACTTCCGTCTGTCATTGTGCTTGACCTTTCTCTCCCTCTCTGTCTCCCTGTCCTTCCTGTGCACTCACATAGACACTAAGTTTTCAGTTTCATTAGATTCTTTTTTTTTAAGCATCCGAGAAAGTCCCTTTGATACAAAGCATATGTTTCTACAATCAACTCCTGTAATGTGCCTGGTAATTATTTCTTTCAAAGTCGTCTGCCAATTTGTGCCGTGCTGTTGTCACCTTACCTTCTGTTGTTTTCTAAGGGTGTAAAAACACTAGACTTTTTTTCTTTCGTAAGATTAGAGATTTAGCCCTAATTAAGACATCCCACATAAACCGACAAGACCAAAGTAGATACTCAACACTATAGCAATTTCTTCATGCCTTTTTTTTTTTTTTTTTTCCTCACAGCGCCTCATGTAGAAAATTTGGCTGGAATGGAAATTTTCACTCCTCTTAATTAGATCAAGGAATCTGCAAGAAGTCTTGTACTGTTTATCCACCCATTAGAGCCCATTAGAAAGCAGAGACGCACTCCCAAAGCTCTTTAAGTAAGCTGTATAGACAACGACACTGTTTGATGTTTTGGCAGAGTGGTGTAAAAAAAAATTAAATTAAAAAAATCACAGCTGGACATGAAAGTGTACAGAGACTGAACTATTAACGTGCAGACTGCTTGGCTTCAATTCAGCTTTATTTTTTTTTAATCTGACGCCAATGAGCATGTCAGGTGCTGCTTTTATGTTTGTGTATACTGTAGGTGGGGTATTACGAGCATTAGACGCGCCACGTGGACAGATTAAGATTGTATTAACACGTCTTTTTAATAGTCAACATTTTTAATGAGCCGTGACTCTTAGATGTCTGAATTCCAGAAACCAGCAGATGTACATATTGAGAATATCTTTATGTGCAAGGCAGAAATGGGGACATGCTTATGTAAGGCATTAAAGGTGAAGAAAACAATCTGAACAAAGAAAAACATAAAGTATCTTTAAAGTCGTGAAATAAAAATGTATGTTTCCCAGCCTCGAAGATCAGTATCAAGAACAACAAGGTTCAAAGAAAGGTTGACCCTGGTTACTGGTTCTTTTCTTTTCTTTTTTTTTTGCTCCCAAGGACCTTGTTTATTTATCATATTTACTTCACCCTCGACTCCATACTGCCTCAGACTAAATTAGAGCCCAGCGCAGTCACAGCTAAATCCTCGCAGAATCCTTTCATACTTTGAAATGCAAAAGAAAAAAGAAAAGAAAAAAAAAAAGAAGCTAGAAATAGCACCTCACAGTAAGATATTAAAACTCTGGTGGTGTTCAGGGGCTGGAAGCTTTCACAAGCCATTGAACCAACAGAATTTTCCAACCATATAGTATAATTAGTACTACTTTCTTTTTACTGCATGAAAAGGACTACTTTATTAAATCCATCTGTCCAAATGCTCATTAAAGGTGTGTAGCATGTACAAAATGGTTGGAGTTTTTTTTAGATCTAATGACCCAACATGCACTTTTAGTGAAGCTGAAACCATAATTTGTCCTTTTAAAACCTAATATTACACTACATATTACACATCCAAATCACCGGAGTAACTCAGTGTGTACCCCAAAAAACACTCCACAAAGTGTTGAAACACACACTCTGGCCATGTTGCATCATTTCATGCTTGTGGATTGACACCTGTAGCACACACCGGACAGATGAAGCTGTCAAGTTACAGGAGCCAATGAGATTTTTGCTGGAGCGTTGATGCACGTCAGCAGTGGGGGTAAAAAAAAGGGGGACAGTGACCTTGTGTGTTGCCCTTTACACCCCTACGTGTAAGGAAGATTGTATAGTGTAGAAGTTAGGGGCTGCAAGGTGGTGCAGTTGGTAGCACTGTTGCCTCGCAAGAAGCAAGAAGGTCGGCGGTTTGCGTCTGGAATCTTTCTGTGTGGAGTTTGCATGTTCTCCCCGTGCAGCGTGGGTTCTCTTCGGGTTCTCCGGCTTCCTCCCACACAGTTCAAAAACATGTTGAGGTTAATTGGTGACTCTAAAGTGTGAATGTAAGTGTGGTTGTCTGTCTCTAAGTGTAGCCCTGTGATAGACTCGCCCTGAGTCAGCTGGGATAGACTCCAGACCCCCCACGACCCTAGTGAGGATTAAGCGGTGTATAGATCATGGAGGGATGGATGTAAAAGTTAGGTTGTATTTAGTTTATTCAAGAACCAGCAAAAGGTGCCTCAACTCCTCATTTCTGTGTTTATTTTATCTCGCTTTTGATACTGCGGCTATCTATACATCAAAGCTAACATTTCTCTGCCCAATAAGCATAATTCGTAACACACACCAACACCCTTTATTTATTTATTTGTTTTTTTTGTGATCTACCCACTTTTGCTCCTCTTTGCTTCCCTTGGTTAATTTGATTTCAGGTTGACAGTATAAGCTCATGAATACAGACCGTTTCATTGAATTAGCATTGCCATTGTTATACTGTATTTATTCAGTTAGCTGTGTTCTGGCTAATTACATTTCTACCTCTCGCACCAAATTTCTGTCGACAGGCTCAACACAGTAATTAAATTTCTTTTAGTAGTAATTTGCATGCACGAACACATGGAAATATGATGAAAGCGCATGTAGCACACGCGTACGCGGTGCGCACACACACACACACACGTGCTCATGCATATGCACGCCACACACAGGAAAACACACACACACACACACACACGAGCCATTGTGTTGGCAAATGTCAGCTCGGCTTACTTTCCCATGAGGTTCAGTGTCGGATGAGATTGTGTTTCTTTAGTGAACACAGTGCACACTTGGTCCCGGTGTGATTTTGGTTTTGTGTGTGTCTGTGTGTGAAAGGGAGAGAGAGAGAGAGAGAGAGAGAGAGAAGGGGGGAGGGGGTGGGGACGATGAGATGTGTTGCATAAGGAGGTGCAGTGGAGTGTGAAAGAGAACAGGTGGCTCCTGTTTCTGCCATCGAGCTTTATGTGCCATCTTCCCCATTGTGTGTGTGTGTGTGTGTGTGTGTGTGTGTTAGAGGGAGTGAGACCCCATCGGTTTGTGAGTGCCGATTTGTGCACACCTTCGCTTCATATCTCCATACATGCACATGCTACCTTGTCTTGCTTCTCTCTTAATACGTGTGTGCGTGTGTGCATTTGTGTGTCTGTTCTTTAGTGAGCAGGGTTCCGGTTGGTTTAGAAACAATTAGATGAAGCTGCAGGAGCCCAAAGAGATCGTTCTCCAAATGTCACCCAATTAACAATCTATACTGAGCACACAACAGCTCTCTCTCCCTCGCTCACGTCCCCCGTCTCTCTATTTATCTCTGTCTGTCTGTGTTTTCGTCTGTCTCGCTTATTTTCTCTCGAGATGTTCATTGAATAATTTTTGAGAAATGGCAGGTTCGCATCACACGCTCGCTGACAGACTGAGAGCAGAGTAAATTAGAAAGTCTTTCTAACATCTGTCTCTTTTTGTTTTTTCTGTCTCCCCGTCTCTCAGACCAATCATCCAGGCCGGTGGTCAGGACTAGGCAACAGCAGCAGCCTGGCTCCAAGGGACCGAAGGGTAGCGCGGGGTTTGGGGGCAGCACTCGGAGGGGACCTCTCTAACCAGCACCTCCCCCACCACCACCCGCCTCTGCACGGTCGGCCCACCGCGTCCGAGCGACACACTGCCAGGGAGGAGCGCCACTGCCAGGGGGTCTTGGCACAACCCGCAGCCCGTAACCCTGCTCCAAACCCGTCTCCAGGCTCCTCTAACCTGTCCTCTGCCACTTCTGCGGCGTCAGCCCAAGCCTCCTCCGCCACACCTGCCCAGCTTCAAGTTTCACACGCGGGCCTTAGTCCAAATCAATATTCAGGCTCCGCTATGGTGGCTGCTAATCACACTCCAGTTCCAGAAGGGGTGTCTTCCTCATCTGAGTCCTTAACTCCAGGAGGAGTGAGTCTGTCAGGTGGGCTAAGGAGAGGAGGAGGAGGAGGAGGAGATCACCATCCCGCGAGTCACATCCCTCGTGCGGTCGGGGCCAGCGCCTCTTCCAGCCTCCACAGTCTGGCGAGCAGAGGGAGCCCCTCTCCGAGCGTCTCGTCGTCCGACCAAGCCTCCCCTCCGCCTCCCACTCCGTCCTCAGCCTCCTCTGCTTCCTCCTCATCCTCCACATTTACCGGCCGTTTAGGACAGCCACCCCGAGGCCCTCTGTCTCTGCATAGCTACACTCGTAAAAACGTCTTCCTCCAACATTCCCTACATACTGCCGAACTGCAAGCGCTGACGCAGAGAGACAGTTGAGGGCAAACAAACATTCGCACCATTCCAACCACTAGCAGCCCTTTCATCAACCCAAGTGACGACATGTGTGGCTTCAAAGAAAAACTGCTGCTCCTTCTGTAAAAGTTGCTCGTGTTTCACTGTTCCCCCCCCAAACGAATCATCAACCACATGCGCTTACAATCACACTCGTCTCTCTTTGCAATCCAGACCAGCCCTTGGGTGACATTTTGTTCATAGATTTGCTCACTTAAACACACACTCATATGCTAGCACGCACACACACACACACACACAGATCGGGCTGCGAAAAAAGGCACTCACCCGTCTATCAGAACTCCCACGTTGTGTCATGCTGACAGTTTAGATGTGCTTACGCCCACAGATGCACAAAGTGCACCCAGACTCACAACCTCATATCCATGCACACGTACACAAGCGTAGTCTGGCACACTTCGACACACACTCTGACACAAAGACGTCATGTGCGGTAACTGTTCGCTTCACCATCTGCACAAATAACAGGGTGTTACAAATGAATGAAGAGATGAGCATTGTTCATTTTGTGTCCATTTATTTGATCCATTTTTAACCAGTAAAAAACCATTTGCTGCTTAAGGAACTATGGGACTGACCGTAGTTGACGCTCTCACATTGCCAAATCCTACATCAGATCAAATCCTTGACGTCCACGTGAAGAGGCGTTTAGATGAGCATCCACAGATCCTTTTACTGCATGCTTTTGGAAATTTAGGGGGGAAAAAAACATACAGCTGAGCATTTTGTACTGCAACAAAACTGGGGGTTGGGATGACTTTTCATAATAATGTCTCAGTATCAACTTTCATCTCAGTGTTTCAGGAAGGGACTCAGACAACCTCCAAGACATTATCCTGTTTGTATAGTGTTTTGAGACAGAAACGGCTCTCCTGCTGACATAAACAATTAGATGTATTCTTGACTTAATACTAGACCACTGTTCTTTGTAGAAATGTCGCAATATTACCCTCATTATATAAAAGAATCCATGTTAGAGTAGTACGGTGCAGTCCAAATGAGGCGTTTCATTCTGAGATGAGATACCTGACGCGTATATAAGCTAACAAAACAAAATACTTAAGACAATAAGTTTGAGCAGAATAAGATTTTTCAATTTGGCAAAACCCAGCCTTAATTTTTTTCTCGAAACAGAGAAAAAAAAAAGCTATCAGATGTTGGAATGAATCCCTCTGAGTCTAAATGACGGCGTCAATATCCATTTTTAGGATTCAGAAAGAAACATTTCTGAAATAAATGGCATTACAGTCCACAGACATGTTTTCTGTTACAAGTTTACCGAAGCAGTCGATTTAGTCAGTTTAGGAAAAAAAAGCTAATGATGGAACAAATATTGCACAGAAAGTTGTTTATCAAATATCAAAAAGGAAGAAAAAAAAAACACATTTTATAAACTATCCTATAGGTAAAAAAAAAAAAAGCATGAGTTTTTCACTCATATGTTTCAGCCTCCTTTTATCTTCCTGATCTCAGATGTTGGTTACATTTATACAAACTGACCTAACGAGATGTCTGTCGGTATAATAAGGCGAGCGGTTCTGTTGGTTTGGACACTGACGGATAGCTTTTTGAGTGAAATTTACATTAACTGTAACTGCCGTGACCCGCTGAGTCTTACATTATTCACACTTTGGGGACAATACGTGTCACAATTTAATAAGTGAGAAAACCCACCTTTTTTTTACAACTGGGCCGCATAACAACTTGTTCAATCTGCCGCTGCTGAATAAATTTGCTCTGTTGAAATGACAAGACTATTGAACAATCCCATCCTCCCCCCGCCCCTCGGAGGCTTTGGGGTAAACAAATATTACAGTGTCAGCCTGGAGGTGGGAGCGTCGCCCTGCTGCTGAATGCGGGCGAAGCGGTTCACGCTTTCCCGGCGTCTACGGGCCATGTTAGATTTCGGAGAAGTTGTTGACCTTGTCTGTCCCTAAATGGCACCCGGCTGCAGGGCGGCTGTGTAAACCGTGTGTGTTGTAATGCACACCTCATGAGGCGAGGACCAGGCAGAGGTGAAGAGCCTGGAGGAAGGCAGCTCTGCTCCCGGCGGCGGAGGCTTTGCTTCCACACCGTTTCCTCCCCTTTTTTTATCCTCTGTCTCCACCCTGTTTTCTTATTTTCCCATCTACTTCCTCTCCCTCTGCAGTGCATTTGCCTCCCTCTGTCCCCCAGCATCCCTCTCCCTCGCATACAAACTGTAGCTGCTTTTGTTCCTCTTCTTTTTTTTTTTTTTCCTCACCCGCTATCTTCCTTTTGCGCCTCCCTCTATCATCTCCCAGGTCTCTTCTTCTCTCTATCTCTCTCCTCTGCCTAGCCTACTTACCCGGAGCTTTGTATTGTCATTCAGTGTATATGTTACAGACTCTGGTTGCAGTGGCTCTCAGTTCTGGGCTTTGGGACCTGCAGCGCTGACGATTTTCATTCCAGCTTTCTAATCAGGGAGTAATTTTACACCTGGTAAATGCAATTAACTACCTAGTAGGATAGACGGGCAGCAGTAATGTGGCTCCCGAGGACTTGGACTGAGAACTGCGGCTGTAATTTCAACTAAACATTCCCCCGCTCGGTTTGTCTACTACAGGTGGAGGGCAACAATGCTTTGTCGCCGGCTAACCTCTTTTAAGAAATGCACCCCTCATCGGTGCATGCATCATAATGTAGTTGACACCGTGCGAAATGCTTGCGAGAGAGTATTTAACCCTGTTTGCACTGCCCACTCAGATTTTATTTTTTCACCACGTTGGATACAGCTGCGCTCATTTCAGCCGCGTTCAAAATTGGGAGCGCAGAGCCACTTCTGCCGGATTTGTTCCGTGTAGAGGCCACGTCTGAGCCGGCAGTTCGAAACGCGGTCTGTCACTAAGACGTTTTTAACTTCCAAATTGAAAACCAATGGGAGAGTTTCACTGCTGGGAATCAAGGGTCTGTAAAAAATCAGCACACCTCATAAACCTCAGTTCTTCATTTTTTACTGAGCAGCATGTTGCGCTTTTAAGACACTACAATGCATTTGTTGGGAGGTTATTTATTGTTTTTATTTTTATTTTTTTGCCTTATTTATATTTATTGCCACTTTTCCTGAGAAGCATCTTGGCACTAATAAATAAAGATAGTAGTCATGATAGTAATCATGATGGACATGACAATAATAATAATAATCATGTTATTGTTATGATTTGATTCAATCACAGGTTTTATGCTGTCGTAGCTCTTTAATGTTCTGATCGTCTTTTTGTTTTCTTTCCTTTCGAGTCGCTGTAATAATTAAATTGTATAATTGTACATAAATTATTGATTCATTGGTATTAATGAACAGTTTGAGTTCACATGAATGGGGGTTAATCATAGGGGTCACATATGTCTTCAGTTGCCACATGAGAGTTTAAAACACAGAATGATTTTTATTTATTTTTATTTTTTCTCCATCGACAAGTGTCAAGTGCAGTCAGAGGTCTGAGCTATTACCAAAGAGTTTCAGGCTAGAGTTACACACCAGAAAACAAACTTGACAACAGTAATAAATCCCATGTTAAACTTCACATGTGAAAGCCTGCTCGCTCCTTCATAGATGTGTCCGGTCGGTGATTCAGCTTTTTTCCTTCTTCGAAATCCCGCCTTTTGCACATTTGGCTGCTCGAGATGACTTTGAAAGACTTTGCGAACTTGTGCGTCAGAAAAGTGGATGATGATAATCTTTTAAAGCTGCTTTTTGCTGTTCAGGTTGACATCTATGTCTAAGTATATAAAGCTATTGGGTACACTCATACTGTGAAACCAGTTAGCCTATAAATTCATTCAACCTAATCCACCCACACGAATTTGGAGGAACAAAAGAACTCTGCCTTTGTGGAGTTGTTTTTTCCAAATTGTGTGGGCCTTCTAATTTTATCTCTTTGACAAGAACTTCTTTGAATGGGCTAATCTACGGTTGAAAGTCCTTGCAGTGTATGTTTACCCAAAGTATTTCTCTTTAGTTTTTTTTTGTCCGGCATAGTTTTTTTGTCACTGTCACAATTGTTTGTTCACATGAGAAAAATGTTTTATCAAAAGGTTTTTGTCCACTGTGTCCTTATTGCTAATATTTAATACAATTAAAATTCATGAAAACATTTAGTTGGGGCTGTGATTTTTTTTTTTCATCATTATTGTTTGGATTTTCATTATAAAATCAGGTGTGTCTGGAGAACGGCTGTGTCGCACTGAAGCAAAGGGAATGAATGATGGATTCAGCTCCTATCAAAAAAAAAGCGCACTGCAAAATAGCAGTAAATCTGTGGGACCCAGGTTCCTTCTCTCAGGCTGGGTAAATTTCACTGTGCAAATCTCTAAAGAAAAGAATGAATAAAATCAAAGAGGGAAAGTAGAACATACAACAAAAGCAATGAATAAAGAATCTTAGGGACCATCACTGTAAAAGATTCACTAAGAAAAAAAAACAACTTTTCCAGCTGCAACATTTGAGTGGACTTTAAAAGGTTGTGCACGGCGGCGGCGGCGGGTTCACGCAGAAGTAATTCTACCTCATTTGACATCAGCCTCCAACCTATTTGAGTGAGTTTTCATTTGGCAGTGACCATAAAGTATGGAAGTGTTTAGAAAATCAATTACATTGGTATGAGTTTGTGTGCACGCGTGTGTGTGGGTTGCAGACTTTGACTGTTTACCCCTTAGGGAGGACCTGTGCACGCTTCTCATTTCTGGACTCACTCAATTAGTGTTGGTGATGTTACGACTGGCTGAGGAGCGCACACACACACACACACACACACACACACACACACACACACGCCCAGGATTAGAAGACAGCAGCTCTGATACTAACTTGCCGTAATTGATACGACAGAAGGTCAGCACATCAGTAAACACACTTGTGATTAACGAAGCTTTGAAGTCCAAAGAGATGGCGTAATAGACAGGATGTGTGTTTGTGCTGCTGATGATGAATCCTCTGTCGGCTGTAAAATTAACGTTTTTTTTTTGCAGTTCGGCGTCTAGCCTGAGAAGTCGAGTCCTGAAATGATTTGCTAATTTGTTGATTAGCAGAAAATGAATCATCGAGTGATATTGACGGCTGATAACTCCCTAAGTTGTGCTTTTTTTGCCACGTTGTCGCGATATACTCAACATATGTCAGACAAAACACAACTTTAAATCTTCAGAGGACACCAATACATTTGGTGTTTTGTGTTATTTTCTGACATTTTGAAGGCTTAAGATATTCCTAAATAAAAAGCAGTAGTTTTGGTGAAAGCAATCGAAGGTCCACTTTTGGCGTTTTCTCAATGCTACATGACAACGGAGCAAACGACCTTGAGATGGGGTGAAAGCTTTGGGAAATGTAAGTGGAGCTTCTGTTAATGTATTTTAGAAACTCAGTGGTTTTAATACAAATCAATAATCTTTAGTACCGGTGGAATAACTCCGATGTTTCTTTGACAGGTCAAGAACCAACATTTCTTTCCATTGTCTCCAAGTATGAAACAGACTCCTGCAGGTGCA